ACATCATTAATGAAGATGTTAAATAGTATAGGCCCAAGGATAGAGCCTTGAGGACCCCACTGGTCACAGTATACCATGATGATTGACTTCCATAAACCACCACCTTCTGGGTTCTACCACGGAGCCAATTCCCCAGCCAGTGGATCGTGGTGAGGCCAAGGCCTCAGTTCACCAGTTTTGCTAAGAGGTGATGATGGGATACCAGACTGAAGGCTTTTTAAAGTCAAGATATATGATATCATCTCTTCTCCCTTGTCCAGGTGATAGGTCACCTGGTTGTAAAAGGAAATAAGATTGGTCAAGCAAGACCTACCCGCAACAAACCCGTGCTGGCTATCCCTCAGGATGTTGCCATCAGCCAGCCCACTAAGAATGGCCTCTTTGATAATCTTTTCCAAGAACTTCCCCTGGGATAGAAGTCAGGCTGATGGGCCTGTAGTTTGCCAGATCCACTTTCCTCCCTTTCTTGAAGATAGGCACCACATTGGCCTTCTTTCAATCTTCGGGCAGTTCACCAGAGCACTAGGAGTTCTCAAAGATCCATGCCAGGGGCTGAACTATGATGCTAGCCAGCTCCTTGAGTACCCTGGGATGTAAACAGTCGGGGCCAGCTGACTTGAAAGTATCCAGCCTCTCAAGGTGTTCCTTCACGAGGTCAGCATTAATGGAGGGTAAGGAATCTTCCCCACCCAGGCCTCCCTGTCCCAAAATGGGCAGGGGCATCCCATGGGACTGGTGAAAAACCAACGCAAAAGTACCCATTTAGCAAGTTGGCTTTTTCCTGGGCGCCTGCTGCTGCTAATGAGCATGGCCAGGGCTCCACAGATCCCAGTGCAGCTGCTTGCTGCCTGCCTACCACCTGCAGCAGCCATGGGCTCTGTGGCTGGTAGCTGGGGCCTGCCCAGAGTCCAGGCCAACTGTGGCATGCTGAGCAAAATGGCTTCATGTGCCATGCTGGGGGTTGCCAACTCCTGCTTTAGAGAATTGGAATGTGTTGCGGAGGTGACTGTGTGGAGATTGTTCTGACCTTGGTCTACAGGCTGGACATTGAGCGCCCTTGGTTACAGGTGATACTCCAACCTCTTCAGACAACCTGGGCTTCGGCAAGTTGTCTCTGTAATCTTTCCTGTGGTCCTGATAAACTGCATCTGAAACTGTCCAGTAATCATTGGGTATGATGGAATATTTTAATTAACTTAATACTTCTCCCTGTGTGCTAATCTGTCATTTTCTTTCCCTCCTCCAGTGTAGTGTTCTTGAGAGTCTGAAGGAGCTGTTGCAGAACTGGTTGAATTGGCATGTGATGCAGTTGGATATGGAGTCTAATACTGAAATAAGTCCTTTGTAAGTTCAGCTGAAATGTAGACAATGCACTGATTGAATGCATGGTGCATACAAATATCCCACTTCTTATGAGTGGCATAAAGCTGGGTGGAAAGTTGGAACTGCTCTTGCTTTACTGAATGTTAATTCAGTTGTGAATCCTCTGAATTCCTTTACAAGCATTTCTGTTTGTGTCACAGATAACACTGTTATGCTTTTTTACTCCTCTGCAACATGTCACCAAGGCACTTTCTCTAGTGATAGGTCTTGAGCCTCTAAATAACTCCAAAGGGGAATCCCATTACTCTCCCACTCTAGACTAGAAGCTTCAGCAATGCCAACTTGCCTTTGTTTCCTGGAGGAGTTAATCATTCTGGTTATCTTCTTAGGAGTTTTTTATTCAGGGGTACAATACAATCTTTTTTCAAAACAAAACATTTGTCAACTGGACACAGTAATTGGTTGGGGTAGATACTATGCTGGCTTATGGTTTCCACCTTGTATCCCCATCAGACTTTGAGTCCTTCTGTACCAGTTTTCTCTCCTCTAGAATTCCTCCCCTCAAAGAGAAGTTAACTTGTAAGTCACAGGCAGGGTTCTCTCACTTGGTATGGTTTATAAACTAAGTCATTAATTTAGTCCAAATCATTGTTCTTAATATTCTCCTACACAGAGGGCTTTGGGCAGGAAGTAAACCTCTGGGCTCATGCTGCTTTCAGTAAAGACATAAGCAAGTAAATGTCACACAGCATTCATATAAATAATACTGAGATTTCTGTTCTTTGCACCGAATGTTATTCATAGCTTGTATCCTGCTGTACACTTGCAAATTTAGTCATGTCAATTTCTTGCATTTGTTCAGTATTGTAGTCCCCAAACTAAAATGAAGACACCAATATATGAACTACATCTGGAGCATTGTTTTATAGGTATTATTTGGTGTTTTTGGACTTCACTGCATAGTGCTTTTTTGTAAGCTCAAAAATCCCTTTTTACTCGCTTCTGCTTGGTACAGCTCTCACCAAAGACCTATTTTCAGTCTTAATTCTCCATGTGGAAATAATATTTTCTAAACTTTGGGGGAAAAAAACAATTGTCTGGACTTCTATACACTCTAGATTATAGTATAAGTTGTTCAAAGTACATCTGAGGTATGATTCACATACCTTTCTTCTTGACTCCTAAGGCTGCTTCACTTCTCAAAGTAAGAAATATTCCAACATACTTTAGAAATACAAAGCAAGTAGATTGAAGTCTTTCTTACCAAGCTAGACATCAGGAATATATCATTGAATGAAAAATGCTAAAATCTATGTTAATTGAGAATTTAAGTGTTCTAAAATCTTAGAATTGAAAAGTCAAGATCTCTGCAGTAGTGATGAGTTACCTATGTTGGTATTATTTTGGATAAGTGTTCTGTTGAATACATCCAGCAAATACTGAATTTCAGTTCACATTGCTACCTGCATACTGTTCCCTCCATATCATTTTGTTTGCTTCTCCTCAACATTGTTCAAAATCTGGAGAGAGGTGTGTTAACATTGTACGTCTGTCTGTCCCTCATCCTGCTATAGGAACACCACGCTTTCTGGACTGGTCAATTGTGTAGCTGAGCTGATCCATTTTGTAGGGCAGCTCTGTGCTGTGGCACTGCGCTTGGAAAGCAATGCTACTTTCTTGCTTCACTTTATTCTGGACTTCTATGAAACAGTAAGTATCCTACTGCTGTTGCCATTCCAAGAAGATGCATTTGCCTGAGAGCAGTTTCCATTTGTAGTGAAGGACATGTAATTCCCTTTGTAATAGTTTAAAGAAGCTATCTTTGATTAGATAGTTTTCTGGCACAGAGGCTAGCCACTGCTTCCAAGGTATGGATAAGGGCAGTTGTCTGGGGTTTTTTCATTGTTTATTTAAGTCAGGGAGGATGTGGGTGCTGTTGATAGTGACATGCATAACACGCACACTAAAACATGAAGCAGCAAGACCCTGAAGTACGGGTGTCAAACATATGGCCCGTGGGCTGGATCCAGCCCATGAAACCATACAATTCATTCTGTGGGCCTTGAGACTAAACCAGTGTGCAGTATGGAGCATGAATTGGCCCCAGCCCTTTGTGGTGCATGTGCATGGACTGAACCTGGCACCCCACGCAGTACAGGGGCTTGGGCAGGTGCATGTGCTATATGTGGCACCTGATGGGTTCTACATGCTAGGTCTGTGGCTGGTCTGGATGAGGCTGTGCTAGAGACCAGAGCATAGCGCTAGTCTGGCTGGGCTCTTCATGCAGTGCATGCTCTGCATTGGCCCCCTGTGCTGCATACAGCATGTGGTGGCCCTGCAGCTCACTAAATACAGCACAATGGATCCCAAGTATGGGTGGCATGAGGTGCACCTCCAGACTGGCCTCTTGCACTGGCTTTACTTGCAGATGTCCTGGGGCTCTATCTGGACCAGCCGTGGAGCCAGCAAGCAGGGCGCACCCCAGGCCCACCCACTGTGCTATGGGTCTAATCCATGTGCTGCATGCAGCACAGTCCTGGAGTAGGGCTGGCATGCAGCACCTAGCATAGAAGTGGTCCCAGTATGACCTGCAAACTGGCCCAGTGACTTTCATCTGCAGGCCCAGCACAGCAACCCACAGAAGTGGATGAGTTGTGCCCTAAAAGGTTACCCTAAAAAGTTGCAACCATTTCAAGTCTTTTTATACTGATCTTTGAAAATTCAATCTTTAGAGAGCCTTAAAAAAAAAAAAACAAAAACGGTTTTTCTTCCCTCTTTTGGTTGAGAGTCTAATCAAAGCCCCAACCCTGCCTCTCCTGCTTTTTCTTTCCATGGACATTCCTCCACACTGGCAATTCTTGTTCAATTTTAGCAGTGCTGCTGTTGCAGGGCTGGAATAAGGGTAAAAGCTGTCAACAGCAGTGAAATCATAAAGAGGACTGTACATTTCAATGTGTGACACTTGGTGCCCTAACCTCACTTGTGGAGTTAGTTGGGTTTTTTTTAATATTGTTAACAGGACCTGAACTAACAGGACCTGAACAGTTCCCTGTGGTCACCATATCAACTCTTCTTCACAGCAAAGGGTTTTTGATGTGACCATGGAATTCTAGCAGGCCAACTGGGAAACACTCTATTGTCTAACTGGCATAATATCACTCTGTTATGTGGTCCACTAATAACAGCAAATCTGATTTAAGAGTTAGATTGTGTTGGGTCCAGTTCAAATTGCAGGTACAAGAGAAGTATCAGAGAGAAGTATGTTGCATGTTTACCACAGAGATCTGGGCAGGTCTGTCCCACCCAGTTACAATATTAAAACGTAGCATTGAGGGTTGGCCCTGACCTTTGCAGACCTGCCACTGTGAATATTTGGTGGAGATGAGAGAGGACCGTGTGGGATTGCTTTACCAGCTTTTCCTGCAAAGGTGTCAGAGTTAACAGTTAGCAGATAAGTAATGCAATGTTCATCCGGCTCTGTAAGCACCGTGGAGACTGATCTGCATTTTTTCTGCAGGTGTGTGACATATATCTGAAATATAATCTACCCTTGTTGGTGTTGCCTCCTGCTGGAGTTTTCTACCCAGCACTGCTCAGCATGGATTCAGTCATCCTGAACCAGCTCTGTTACGTTATATACAGGTACCAAAGATGGGGAGCTTTCAACTTCCTCACATCCATTTTGAGGAGAGTGGCCACCTTTAGTTATGTCAGACAAGATCATGGGCTGTCCATAAAATCTCCAGCGTGAGTTATTCTCTCTGAAAGGAGCAGAAGGTGGCATGCTTGGGTTATTCTCAGAGCTGGGCATACAGTGCTCTATAGCAGGGGTAAGCAATCTTTTAGCAGCAGCAGCAGGCCAAAGTAACAGAACTCAGTCTGAAGGTGTGTTGCTGCTGCTACTTCCTTGGCTGACATACCCTGCCACCACAACTTCTGCCACCAAATCCTGACTTTCTGGGCTGATTATAATCCCTTTTTGGGCCAGTTCTGGTCAATTCCTGCTCTAATAGCATTGTTTCACAACATTTTTTTCCATACTCATATCCCAGGTAAGAATAGAACACAGTTTCAGGATCCTGTTCCCCCCCCTGTCATGCCATCCATAAGGGGAGAGGTAGGTGGTTCCCATAATACTTCGAGAGAGCTTAAGTACCTTGTCCTGTCTCATATTGAGAAATGGTATCAGTCAAGCTTTGACTCTAGACCCTAGAGTTTCTGAGCCTCAGTCCTGTGCTCTAACCAATGAACTCATATTTGCAGAAAGAAGCTTTATGCAGTGCTGTTAATGGATGCACTGAGCAGTGGTGACTTATAGGGGGTGCACTGGGGTGCATGTTGCACCCCCTGACAGCCAGCGTTCCCCGCTTAGACAGGCAGGGGAGGCAGGCAAGAGCACTGGTGCCGCCCCTGAGAGTGCCAAGCAGGAAGTGGGGGTGCCAAGAGAAGTGATCCCTGTGGTCCCCCCTCCATCAATTGTGCTGACCCAGAAGTGCCAGTGGCGTGTCGCTGGCGCTTCCGGGTCAGCATGATTGGCCTCAAGGGAATTCCCCTCCCTTCCCAGTCAGTGCAGTCAGTCCCCCTGGTTACTGACTGGCCACTGGGGGTGGGGCAAGTGCCCCCTCCTGACTCAGGAGATACCAGTCATCCAAGGCACGGAGCATAAAGTACTTCTACCTTTTGAGTCTGGGATGGCTGCCTAGCACTGCCTGAATGCTTGGAGAAAACATTGGTTGTTTCTCTGCAGGACCTACAGTGCTACCACTCTTGATGGTGTTAGTTGCAATGGTTGCATCTGATAAGAAAAGTAGTCAATTGCCGACAGCTGGCATAGGGCTTTCCCTGTGGCTTTTTCTCTGGGGAAACTAAAGGATCATTAACATGACAGGATGCTCTCTGGGAGATGAGAGGAGTTAGTGCTTGTTATATAGAACAACTGTCAGGTTTCATTACTTCCAGTGATTTCCATTTTCTCTACTTACCAAATGAAAGGCTCCTTCTTAAAAATATACTGCGCTTTTGTGCTGCAGTCATTGTGTTTATAGCATTTTGAACTGTATGAAGGTGACTTTGCCTTGTTTGCCTGGAACACATTGCTCATGCAAGACTCTCATTCAAGTGTCTTCCTCCTCCCTAATCCCTGAGTAAAGGCTGGATCTGTGCCAAACAGTGTGGTTCCTTTGAACTCCTCCTTCTGTCAGCTTTCATAGCTGGAAGAGAGAGTGCAGCAATCTCACTAGTGAAGGATAAAAGCTGCCTTAACTTGTTCTGAAAGCAGTCCTCCTGCCCTTCTCTGGTTTCTCTCTCTCTGAATGCAGAGGGCATCTAACATTTTTTTGTGTATTTATTTCTTTAGGTATCGAACCAACTTGGTAGCTGCGAAAGAAAATGAGCTGGTTAAAAAGGTACTTTGAGCAGATCAGATAAGTACTTTACTCTGGATAGTTACAAAGTGGTTGTGAACAACATGCTGAGGTGGGGGAAAGATGATAGCACGCAGCTGTTATAAGGAAGTTTCTCTCTGAATTGTTTTCGGATCCCACCAGGCAATACTGCAATTCAAGTTTAGTAGCCGAACTTACCAAGAGTACAACCAGTACATAATGGTTATGGTGGGCTGCCTGTGGACATCCAGTGCATTCCAGAAGGATATCCACCCTCAGGGCATTTGCCTGGACACTGAGGTGCTGGAGAAAACCAGAGTGCAGGAATTCAGGAACAGCTTCAACATCATTTACCACCCAGCCCTAACAGGCTATGCTATCCTTTTCCTGGAGCAGGTAAGGATATGGGCAAAGTTTGCCCCTTTCCTGTGCCACCCACTTGGAATTTGTTGCCCCACCTTGAGTATTTATCCAGGCAGCTGCCTCTTAATGTACTGCTTTAGTAATCAGTTCTCCTAGCATCAGTTGTAGTTTATAGGGTTGGTTTTATGCTCTGTGGCCCAGAACAAATGTTCTATGCACTTATTTCAGCCCAGGAGCACAATATGAACATGGTGTGGGTTTTTTGGTTTTTATTTTTTTTTATTTGCCTATTATAAAAATACACATTATCAATATGGTATGGTTTTGTGCTTGATGTAGTAATAGTACAGCCATTATTTTGCAGAGTGGGTTAAAGTAAAATGTCTGAGAATTTAAATGGTTCAAAACTTCATTAATCCATGAGCTTACCTTTGTTTAGGCAGTTCTTACTATTCCCACGTGAGGCATCAGAGCTCAGGACAGTCTGATAAGCATGTAGTTTTTGAGTACTAAAAACAGTCCACCTTTTAAATAAAAAAGAGTACTTGTTTGCAATGCCAGCTTTTCTGGAAAGCATTAAGTATATCTTTCCAGAGCACCAGGGGGTGCTGCTTTGCAACAGACTGAGAGAACAGTGGCAATCAGTTCAGCATCAGTATGTTATCTGCTCTTGTTCTATCTCAGTTTTGGAACTAACAAATGTTTCTGAAATGGTGGCTTCTGAGTTTCCAAGGCATAACAGTTCATTAAGTCTAGAAAATATTTCCCATTTCCATCCAGAAGCATTAACAAAGTACTGATCCACAAATTGTTGATGACTCCATGGTGCCTTACCATTTATGGATTTGTTTAAGGAGAGTCCTACAAGTCCATCACGATACATGTCATCTTCCTTGCTCATCTTGATCCTGTGCTTTAAGAGAGGATTTGGCAGAGCTAAAGCCTGGCAGCTCAGGACACAGACTTTGATCTGATCTGCTCTTTGTTTTCTTTCCTCTAAGGCTTGGCCAAGTGATAAAACCCTGGACTTCAGTTTAATTAAGGTAACTAACCTTTGTTATAAATTAGTTTAAAAGTAGGTTGTATTCAATATTTGGCTAGCAATATGGGTATACAGTGCTAAAGCATTTACCAACTTCAGAAGTACCTACAAGAAGTCTGAAAGGACTTCCATTCTGGAGAACTCAGTAAAAGATGCAGATTCAGTTGTGGACCAAAAGCAACCTCTATGTCAGCTGCACATCTCCAGCTCTTTGTGTTGAGAACCAGACAGCATATTACCTGAAAACTGAAATTTGGTGCTATTGGATAGCCTAGCAGCCACCTATAGTCAGGAGCCTGAGATTTTAGACACCCAGATGTAAAACCAATACAGCCTCCAGGCAGAGAAGCTCTAGCTACTTGTAGAATTGGTGCCAAAGAAAATTCAGCTTCTAATATAAATGGATTAAGCTTGTCAATTTCCAGTATTGGTCTAAACCATTTAAGTTCTGAGGTGGGTGTGTATTCTTTTCTTTTGCTACTGCTCATGGAACAGGTGCAGCATGACAAGTGGTAGTGTATGCTTATTCCTCTGATGCTCTTCCTGACTTAAAAGAATGACTTCTAGGCTAGGGACAGACATTACAAACTGGTTTAAGTAATCAGAAACGGGCTTAAACCTGTAACAGAACAGATGTTCAGCGCACATAAACCAGTCTGAGAATGGCTGAAACTGATTTGAGATAAACCTGGTTGAATGTAATATTAGACTTAACTGATTTGCGCCAAATCAGTTTATGCAATGTCTGTCCCATACCCCTTGCTGGTTTAAACCAGACTCCCCCAGCATCCCAGCATGCTCTGTGGGCTGGGCAGGGCTCCTCTGCACCACAGCACAGCTGGTCCCTCCCCTCTGCTCCCTGATTGCAGCTTTGGCAGAGACTTGCAGGCACAGGAAAGTCTGCCTGCTTCCCTCCTCCTGTCCCCACTCTCTGCTAAGTAGGCATTCCCCCATCCCCCACAGACACCTCTCAGCATTAGCTAGCAGACCATGTGCTGGCTACCTCACAGCTCTGGCCCACGGGGACAAAGCAGAATCAACAGATAGCTGATAATGTCCCTCTGTTATTTTCTTAATGGCGTGATAAATACTGAGTTAGGAGTGATAAACATTCCCTGCTGGGCTGTTCAGGAGGGAGGGAAACCTGTCCCTAATCTGATTCTCTTGCCAGGGCTTGGCCCCTCAGCTCTGTGGCAAAAAGGGAGGGCTGCTCTAGCATCCCCCGCCCCTTCCGGCTTCTTGCCTGAGCTACTGCAGGCATGTGGCTGCATTTCTGGGATGTCTGTTTGGTTACAAAACTGATTTAGCCTAGCCTTAAACTAACCTGCAAAGATAGAATCAATTCAGGCTCAGGTTTTTTGAATGTCTGTCCCTAGCTCTAGAGGTGGGAGGGAAGGCTCAGCGTTTATGGCACGGGTAGGCAACCCCCACGGGGCATGGGTGCCAGAGTGTGGCACAAAGACATGTCGCTTGGCACACACACCTGTGGGAGGACAGCAGGGAAGGGGTTGCCCCAGCAAGGATCGGGTCTCTTGCAGCTTCCCCACCATCCACCCCTGGCATACCAACATTTTATAAACCAAGTTTGCAGGTGTTTTTGGCACAGTGCTGGCCCCAGGCTCTCCTACTGCCCCCAGGATAACTTGTCATGTGCCAGAGCACACATGGCATAGGCATTACCTGGGGACAAGCACCTGCAGCGCAAGGTGTGCCCCTGCCACTTGTCCCCAGGGAAACAAACATCTGTGCATGTCTGGATGCACTACTAATGTCCAATCCTGCAAGACACATAGTCACAGAATCATAAAAAAAATTATGGTTGGAAGGGAGCTCAGGAGGTCATCTAATCCAACTGCCTGCTTAAAGCACAATTATCACCAACTATATCATCCCAGCCAAGGCTTTGTCTAGCTGGTCTTAAAAACCTCCAAGGATGGAGATTCTGCAACCTCTTTGGGTAAACTGTTCCAGTGCTTTACTGCCTTCCTGGTGAAAGATACATTTTTCCTGGTATCTAACCTAAACTTCCTTTGCTACAGCTTGAGATTGTTGTTCTGTGATCTGCCACCCCTGAGAACAGTCTAGTTCAGGGGTGGGCCAAATGGCAGATCCAGCTGGTAACCAGACTTCATTTTTCAGCACCCCTGCCTTCCTGGCTGCAGCCAGTTTCTGTGGAGATGGGGTCAGGGTTTCCCTGGCGACCAGCCCAAGCAGCACTGGCAGGGCACACAGCTGTGTGGGGAGTCATTCCAGAGCTGGGGCCAGGATTTTGTGGTGGCGGTGGCGTGGTCTGGAGCCAGGGCAGTCACAATCTGCTGCCTGCATGCCCTTGCCTCTGCCCCACTGCCCACATGCCTCAAGCAGGGTCATGCAGACAGCAGATTGCAGCTCTGCCCAGGCTCCGGACCATGCTGTCACCGCTGCACAATCCTAGCCCCAGCCCTGGAGCAGCTCCACACCCAGCTGCTTGCCATACCAGCACTGCTTGGGGTGGTCTCCATGGAAACCCCAGCCTGCACCTGCCTCTCTCTTTTTCTTCTTCCCCCTTCAAAGGCCCCACCCCTTCTGGGGTCTCCATGGAAACTGGCTGCAATGACATGGGCTAGGGCTGGTGAGAAATGGAGTCTGCTGTGGGCCAGACTTTGCCCACCCCTGATTTAGCTCCATCCTCTTTTTTAACCATCCTTCAGGTTGCTGAAGGCTGCTCTTAAATCCCCACTCAGTCTTCTCTTTTCCAGACCAAATAAGCCCAGTTCCCTCAATTTCTCCTAAGTTATGTCCCCCAGCCCCCTCACCATTTTTGTTGCTCTCTGCTGGACTCTCTCCAGTTTGTCTACATCCTTTCTGTAGTGGGGGGGCCCAAAACTGTACCCAGTACTCCAGATGTGGCCACACCAGTATCAAATAGAGGGGAAGAATTACTTCTCTCAACTTCCTGGCAATGCTCCTACTAATCCAGCCCCACATGCTGTTAGCCTCCTTCACAACAAAGGGACACTGTTGGTTCATAGCCAGCTTATTGTCCACTGTAACCCCCAGATCCTTTTCTGCAGAGCTGCTGCTTAGCTAGTTGGTCCTCAGCCTGTAGTGTTGCCATGGGATTGTTCCATTCTAAGTGCAGGACTTTGCATTTCTCCTTATTGAACATCATGATATTCACCCAGAGGCAGGATGTAATCTTTGTGCATGTATATAATCAGGTGGCAGGACAGAGATACTTCCCAGTTTGAATTTTGCCTTCATTTTCAGACTGTGGCAAGAGAAGGGAGTCTCTGGCCCCAGACATTTAACTACCCCATTTCTGTTTCTATAGGGGAAGAAATGGAACTGGTATCTGGAATATCTCTACACGCAGGGGTTAGAAGGCCTGAAATTCTTCATTGAAAGCAGCATCAGTCGTATTTCCCAGACCTCCAAAGCCAAGAAAGGGAGTTTACATATATAACATTGTGTTTTACATGGACCTGTTGAAAATCCAGATGGGGAGAGCAGAATATAGCAGCATGTCTTACTCTTCCATTCTCAGTGTGAAGAAGTAATGGAGCAGTTAATCTCTTTCACATTTTGATACTGACATTCCTTTAGGAAAGGAATGATTGAACCGTCCTTATTCACTGATTCAGAGTCTGGATGGCCCTGGCAAACTGCTGTGATCTGAAGTTGCTGAACTGACATTCTGAGCACTGTCAGATTTGTTTTCACCATTACTTTTGCTATCACTGGACTGTCTATTTGAAAGTAGCAAATACTATTCCATTTTAATGCTGTTCTGAGCAGTGCTGCTTCAGTGTAAGCAATTCCTGTTCTATGACCTGCTCTGCCCCCACCTGCAGTAGGGTAATGAGCAATACTAAACCTTTTCTAGGTTGTTGTATATACTGAATCAAAGGACCTCAAGGCGCTCCTTCATTTTCTTGCTGTGTATATATTTGATCTAAAGGCCTATAATGAGCTGGCTGAACTGACTCTCTTAATTCTTGCTTTCAGTATGGGAACTTTCTCCTAACATCGTTTGGGACATTTTGCAGCTGGAACACTTGAGTGCTGCTCATGATGCTTTGAGTACCTAAGGGTGTTGCCAGCAGCTATTTCCTTTTGACAGGTCTAAATGAATGTTTTTTATTTTGTGCTTGTAGCTATGTACATAATTGTATTAAATATTTATTTTATGTAAAATGCTGCCATAGTGGCACTACATGAATTCTGCTGCAAACTGTATCCCCCCACCCCACAAACAGCCTGGTGAATCTGGAAAGGAGACACTTCATGAGCTTTGAAATGTATTCTTTTTCAGTGGTGGTTACCAGCACCTGGTGACTTCTGAGCCTCTAAGGACACTTTGCCAATAATAAATCATAGTTGTTCCTTATCTCCTCAAATACTACAGCAACCCTAAGCTAATATCCTCATTAGCAGATTCTTTAGCTCAAATAGTAGGTCTGAGAAATGTGTGTTTTTTATTTTCTGTGGCTGTGTCCACCAGGCACCCTTTTGTTACTCAGTGTGACTCCTGACAGCCAGCTGAGACCCATCTCTCCAGAGAGTTAGACAGAGAGACGGGCCTCAGCAATAAGATGGAGAAATACATCTTGACAAAATAAACATTTTTCTTCTGAGAAGTTAATTTATAGCATTTAGGGCTTTTTCCCTCTTAGTCTATCGTGGTTTTTATGATTAAACTTTTCTCTCTGCATCAGATACCAAGGGCTGCAGTTCTCCCTTGTCCATATACATTTCATTTCTGATGCTCATTTGCCCCATACACTTGACTGGATTAATTTTGCCAGCCACTTCTGTTGAGGCCCTGCCTATATGCTAGATTTCACAGATTTTTAGGGTCTGAAGGGACCTATTAGATCATTGAGTCCAACCCTCTGCTCTGGGCAGGAAAGTGTGCTGGGGTCAGATGAACCCTGTCCAATCTCCTCTTAAATACCTCCAAGGAAGGGGACAGCACCACCATATTTTGGCAACCCTCACTAGAGAATTTTTGCCTGATGTCCAATCTAAATTTGTTCTCCTTCAGTTTGTGACCATTGTTTCTAGTTACCCCAATGGGCACCTTGGTAAGTATTGTATCCCCTATTTCCTGCTGTGTCATGTGTCCCCCCCCCCGATGAGCTTGTAGGCAGCCACAAGATCACCTCTCAGCCTTCTCTTGTGGAGGCTGAAGAGATCCCTTAATCGGTCCTCATAGGGCTTTTCCTGTAGGCCTTTAACCAGACGGGTGGCCCTCCTCTGAACCCTTTCCAATTTATCCACATCCTTCCTGAAGTGTGGCGCCCAAAACTGGACGCAGTACTCCAGCTGCAGCCTGACTAACACTGCATAGAGGGGAAGTATCACCTCCCTAGACCTGTTTGTAATGCACCTACTTATGCAAGAAAGAGTGTGGTTCATCACACTGGCAACTCATGTTCATTTTGGAGCCGACTATGACTCCACAATCCCTTTCCACAATTGTGCTACTTAGAATGGTATCTTCTAGGCTATAGGTGTGTTGATGATTCTTCCTCTCTAGGTGCAACACATGGCACTTATCTTTGTTAAACTGCATCCTGTTCTGTTCTGCCCACTTCCCCAGCCTGTCCAAATCTGCCTGGATTTGCTCCCTGCCCTGTAGCTTGTTTACCTCCCCCCATAGTTTGGTGTCATCTGCAAACTTGGACCAAGTGCTTTCTACTCCCTCATCCAAGTCACTAATGAAGATATTAAACAGTACCAATACCAGGACAGAGCCTTGGGGGACTCCACTGCCCACACTTTTCCAAGTAGACCTCCAAGCATTTTGTGACCCGGTCATAAAAAGAAACCAGGTTAGTCAGGCAGGATCTGCCTGCTATGAACCCATGCTGGTTGTCCCTTAGCATTATTTTAACTGCTGGTCCCCAATAAATGTAATCCTTAACAATTTTCTCAAAGGTCTTGCCAAGGATGGAGGTGAAACTAACCAGCCTATAGTTACCTGGTTCCTCCTTCCTCCCCTTCTTAAAAATAGGGACCACATTGGCTCTTTTCTAATCCTCCAGTACCTGTCCTGAGTTTCATGAGTACTCAAACAGTCACACCAGTAGTTCCGCTATGTCTCCAGCTAATTCCCTGAGTACCCTAGGATAAAGATCATCAGGGCCTGTTGACTTAAATACATCCAACCCCTCCAGGTGCCCCTTTATTAAGTCAGCGCTAACAGTTGGTGGGTTGGTATCTATCTCACGCTTACCTGAAGTCCCATTGGGAATGCATGCTTGTATTTGTGTCCAGGAACACAGATGCAAAGAGAGCATTTAGGTGCTCTGCTTTGGCCATCCTTTTTGTTCCCAGTTGCCCTAGCCTATCCTGAAGGGGCCCTGTGTTACCCTGCACTTCTTTTTGCTTCTTGCGTATTTAAAAAAATGACTTTTTGTTATCCTTAACTTTTGCTGCCAGTCTAAACTCCATTTCTGCTTTGGCCCTCCTCACTGCTTCCCTGAAAGCTCAAGCCAAGCAAGTATTACTCATCCTTGGTAGCTGCCCGCTGCCTCCTCAGCCTGTAGGCCTCTCTTTTCCCCTCCAGGCTCTCCTGGATTTTCCTGCTCAGCCATGAGAGTTTCTTTGCTCTTTTGCCCCCCTTTGTGTGTACTGGGATGGTCCCTTTCTGTGCCTGCAGGATCAGTTCCTTGAGAAATTCCCAACCTTCCTAGATGTTACCTTGGTGCCCACTTGAGGCCCTAGAGAGCAGAGTAGGTCAAACCACCTCTGTACACAGCAGGTATTTAATTGTTAGTTTTTTTCCTTTTTAATTTTTTTTTTTTTTTGTGGTTGAGACTTTTCCATAACAAATTTCAGTCCTTAAGATTAAGCCAGTCGTTTGGGTTAAAAACGCTCTCTTTTTGTATGCCCATTGCTAACCAACATTCACAATATTTTTATGTGCTTCAGGTGGGGGCATATCTCTGATAAATCTGCCAGTTTCAGGTTAGCCACTTTCTACTTTTCAGAGCTGAAGGCACCAGATGGGAGAGACAAAACACCTGGGTTTGGTTCCTAGACCCAACAGTGGAAATCTTTTCAGGTTCCCCCATGTGTAAAATGGGGGGATAACAATGGCAACCTAGCTTGTAAAACATTTTAGGATCCATGGATGTAAACTATTCTAAAGGATGTACCAGATTAAGCTGCTTCTTAAAATGTTCTGGTGAGCTCAAGCTTTTCACCCATGGCTGTAAGGCCTGTATGCCTACAGCAATGTCCTCTGAGACTAGTGAAACATAGAAATGAAGAGAGCACTGCTGTTCTGTGGGCCATACTACTTCTAGGTCATCTTTGGCATATCCTACATCTGTAGGATATCATATCTGCTGTTTCCTACATATGCCACATATGTAGGAAACAGCAGAAGTTGCTTCATCCTGCCTTGTAAGAGTGGCTGAGTGCTTAAAATAAATTCTGCCTTTGCATGCATCAGTCAGCATGCTTCTTCTGTGCTTAGCTTCATTACACCTGGCTGTGTGGATGCTGCCTGGCTAACTGCTATCAAGAGGAAGTGTTCTTCAGAAATACAGAATGTATTAAATAACAGTAGAAAAGACTCTAGGACTTCCCCGCTGTGATGCCAGATGGACTTGAGGGGAACGCCTCCAGACCTCAGGTTGGGCAAGACCGAGTTAGAGAGTTTCTGGAGGGGCTGGACGTGTTCAAGTCAGCAGATCCAGATGCTCTCCACCCCAGGGTGTTGAGGGAGCTAGCTGGGGTTATTGCAGGGCCTTTGGCACAGCTTTACGAGCCCTCGTGGTGCTCGGGCCAGGTGCCAGATGACTGGAAGATAGCTAATGTGGTCCCCATCTTCAAAAAAGG